ATGACGTAAACCATGTTCGCCTTTTTAATCCAACCTAGGTCAGTATAATGCTAAGCGAAATCCAGCGTGACTTAAGTGTGCTCGACCAATGGACCTCCAAGTGGATGATGACATAGTTCACTGATACATGCCACGTAGTATCCTACAGATGTGATATCATAACAGGTTCGCTTACTATTGATGGTAAACCACTGTCTTACTGCCACACTACCCGTGATCTAGGGATCCACTACTCAAGGACCCTTAAATTTGCTAAACACACCGCACGTCCTGCAGCTCAAGTCCGTCGGAGCAGTGGGATTCTGTTGAAAACATTCAACTTTAAAGAATCGATTAACACTATGTATAAAATAAAACAACCCTTGCTTGCTTATGTCTCCATCATCTACTGTACTTTAGAGTGATTGGTCGTATGGCATTGGAGCATTTACAACGATCATTTACTAGGCGTGTACTAGGCTATTCTACCACCCTTTGTTATATGGATCGTTACATTGCCTTAAAACTTGATCCACTCTGGCTGCGAATAATAAAACTTAATATGTTCATCTACGTTGATATACTTACCCCAAAAATACACTCCTCACACCCAACGGTACAACGAGCAGAATTATCAATGTATCGCACTCGAAATAATAACAACAACGAAGTTAAAGTGAAGAGGTCACGAACAAAACTGTCCGGCAAATTTTTCCTTAACCGCTACCCCATACTGTGGAACAGACTTCCATCTGAGATACGTGAAATTCAGTCAGGGATAAAGTTCCGACACGCTATACATTGAATGCTGAACGTAGAAACAGCGGTTGATTTACCGCGACCTACCATGACAAATGAATCCCCGCACGAAATTGTTGCAAGATGGATATAGCCTCAATACCTGGGTACATTTTCGTTCTGTTGTCGCCAGACCTTGCTACCCCCCACCAATGTCTATCAGTAAATAAAAGCCGTTTTCTAAATAAAAATCTTCTGATTACCATGAGGTTTACGCTTATCAAAGCAGAAATATGTCCTAGAGCTCCTCTCTAGCAAACTGCTTCACATTCGTTCTGCAATACTAATCATTTTCTAATTTTTCCTGGAGCCCACCCCTTAGGCACGTGCTGCAGTTCTCCGTGCTCCGCGAAAACAATATAGATATTATCTCCGCTTTTGACTGGATTCATCTGAGGGCCCTATCTAAAAACCTACCAGGAGCATCCATGTTAACGATCACTCTGAGTGCCGACCTCCATCAAAATCAACTTCTCTTACCGAATGCAGCTAAACTGTTGTAACGACAGCAAACGCTCTATACTACATCCAGTTATCTCTCCCTCCCTGGAGAAAATATTTTGTTTACCTACGGCATTTCTCAGGGCGCAAAAATTGATTGCACATCACCAATCTCCCAAATTTTCTCTCCTACAACGGTTGGAGCCGTCACAGTTATTTCCTCTGAAAATTCCTTTTAAAATACATGTACATTTCTGAGGATTTATGCCTCCAGTGATAATTTGTACAATCTGTATCGGACAACTTCGGAAATAGCCCATCATGTTCTTATTACCGCAACTTCATCACTTTTCTTTTTGTTTATTTCTCTCTTACCACTGTTGGCCACGACTGAGCCGATCTCCCGAGGTGATGAATAAACGCTTCCAAAAATGCAGTACACTCATGAAATGCGAGTTGTCACGAACTCACTGGCGAATAATAAAAGTGCTAGACTCGAATCTGCTAAATGATGGCTATATGATGAGAAGAGCTCAACATATTACACAGGCTCCCACATAAATTTATGCATATTTATGTATGATGTGCCACCATGATAATGACAAATTGCATGACAACAGCCAACAAGAAAAAAGGAGTCAAAAATACATTGGCTACTTTCATTAAGCCACAACATCACATGACCAGATGCGATGTGTAACTGAAGTGTGGAAACAGCCCTCAAGAAGGTGGTTCCATGAAGTGTCGTATTACTTTACTTGACCTGACGGTTATAATAACCTGTATTCTTACTCTCAACTTCACCATATTTTAATCCTTTTACATGATTGAGCACCTCAAACTCTTAATGAGAACATAACAGATTATGAAAAATTTTCACTATCCAGCTTTGTTGTACCAATTGAGCAGGCTACTATTTTGCCTGTGTCGCGCACGCCGAGAAGTACTATACCGTTTATCTCTTCTTCTGTTGCTTTGTGTGCGTACATTCTCATTTCAAACTCCCTTTATACGACAGTGCGGTTACATCTGTAAGCGCCCGAACTGAAGACTCCATTATCCCTTCGCTAACTTTTTGTCACGTTATACACCTTACGGGACATGTCAAGCACCTGTTTTTTTACCCGTTATAAATCATTGTTCGTTGTTCATTGTCCTACCATCAAGTGCCATGAAGCAGACGTTTCCTCACCACGGTCGTATCCTTTCGGTGGACATGAACTAACCATCTCAGGTGTCGTTGCCACGCAGCTTATAGTTCATTGCGCACAAGTCGCCGGTGTGAAACACGTCAGAGTCAGGCATTCCTTCACACCAATGGATGCGCAAAAATACTCGAAAGCGTTTTGGTGAAATCTACCCCGCAGAACAGATGTCCTTCGTCTCAACCGTCCAAGTTTCATTAGCGCAGAGAAAACCTGGCAGTGCTACTTGCACGTAATCCATAAAAGTGGTTCCAGCAGTCACGTAACAATTCGTTCACACCGCATTCGTCGGAAGTCACAATCGCGTTTGATGCACAAGTACGCATCTCACAGTTTATCCACAATGTTAGTGGAAGCTTGCAACCGAGATAACAGAGTATTGGCATGTTCTTAGTGACTTCTGGAACAGGTATGCAACCTTACTTATCTCGATGTGGAGTTAAAATGCGATTACCGTCGAATCGAGCACCGATGTTGTGCGTTTTAATTTTTGCACAGTAGGTAAAAGCAAAGTACAGTCGTTCGCTAACTGCAGCATCTGAAAGGTTAGCTGTCGTACTAGGCTTTTACCCCAAGGCAATGAACTTACGGTAACCCACCACAGGTACTGCACAGTGGACAGACACCGTATTCACACGAAGCAAATGCAGATGATTGCACAATAGTGAAATAAATGTTAACCAAACAAATAACCATGGTGCGCATCAGAGATAACGCCAAATTTATCCGACGTCCATACAACGGAACACGTCAACCATTACGTATAAATCCAATTTGAGAAGCGCAATTTAACAAGGACTGCCAAAGATTGACTGTGTCGGACGCCGCAGTGAATTCAGCGGACAGCGAATCCATCAGCTGGTTTCTCTCACAGCACATTTCCTGCAGCTGTGATGCTGCCAGAATCTTAGTAACTGTGCTTCGTCCATGATACTCCACCACGGTCGGTTTAGGTGGATTTATGGGTTAGTGATCGGTCATGATCCGGAAAGACCCCTTTCCGGTGTGACCTAACAAAACTGGTGCTACACATTATCCTTAATGGCTTTTTAATCGTTCGCTTCTGATACACAAATGTCCCTCTCTAACTCACTTAGAGAGTGGTCTAGTCAAATTGACGTGATAATTTTTCAACCCCAAGGCTGTGAACCGACCGGTGAGGGCGTCGTAGGGAACAAGTGATCGATAGTTGCCATGACCAAATGTTGACACGGACCATTCGGTGACCCCGTGTGCTTCTAGCGTGGATGCGAACCAGTTACAACTTTGGATAATGCGTAGAGTAAACCGGGACAATACTTACCACCGGGCAACTTTGTACCACGACCGTTTCGGGACATCTACAAAATTCTACACCACTTCCTTACAGTGCGGACATGAGCATTCAATGGCTTTATTGTTTCTTGTGAGTGTGCATCAATACACAGCATTTCTGAATGTAAAAAATTTTCTTTCGTTTTCAACCCTGGTGAGTAAAACGTTTTTTCTTACCTTGCTTTTTATGGTTCATCTACCAAGAGGTAGCATCATTAACATTTATTTTAATCTATACAGTTTCTAGATATCACTAATCTTAACTATACAGTCGATAGTTAGATGGTTCACGCAGTTTGTGTTTAAATTTACTAAAGAATGGCCAATACATAACTAAGATTTATCCAAATGTAAATATGAGGGTGAGTCCAAAATTGACGACATCTTCAGTAGGACAAGTATAGTTCTCAACGCAGCAAAACGTATCACACATCAAAATGAAACTGGTCTTTTGTAAATCATATCTCTGTATCTCTCAACATAGTCACCGTTTCTCTCAATAGCAATGCTTCACTGTCTCGTAAAATTCCGTTGACTGTTCGTTGAGCCACATCTTCACCGCAGTTTTCACTTCCTCCTCAATTAAATAATGTTTGCCTCTCAAACCCTCTTTCACGGGGCCAAAGAGATGATAGTCTGAAAGTGCTAACCGGAAATAGAGGTAGTCATTGGAATGACGCTACTCTACGTCACCTTCGCACTTGGTACACTAGATTACACTGGATTACTTTACCCATCGAGAGAACCATGGAGATGTTCCGAGCACTTCGCATGAGCAGCCTGCAACTGTTATAGGAAGCTGTTACATTTCCATTCAAACAAACCGTGGGCTACGTTGTCCACAATATTCTACATGTAATGTTGTCACAATTTTGATTTCCTGTAACATTACACCTGCAAGTACCGCAAGAAGATTTGATGAAATGCACACATGTAGTGTCGTTCTGTCGAATGTTTATGATGCTTTTATGCTGGAGTGCTTAATTTCGCTAGGAATGAACGGCTAGATTAAGTGACTGGTGAGATCGAAAAGTGTCCAGTATTCCCCAAACACTGCACTCACTCATCTGTTAAGGTAGAACGAATTGTTTTAGCGCATGCATATGTATGAACTCTCAGCCCCACCCAGGGCGGTCCACAAATGCCCGTGTTCCAGCGCATCGCAACGGGACAGTAGTTCTGTGTGTGGACTGAAAGGTGATCAGCCAATCAGCTGCAAACAAACTCGTTACTACGGTATCATTGAAAATGGGCTGGTCACAGATCAAAGGTACACGTTGTTTGTCCTGAGATGGTGTAGATAGCGGAAAAGGAAGTGGATAGAACAAGCAGTGTTCAATTGTGAAGGTGCTACCTGCGAAGCTGTGCATGTTAGGAGGAGAAGTTTACCGCCATGCAGCAATCCATCAAAACTGCCAAGATTAATCTGTGTCAGGTTATTGTATCAGTTCTACTATTGTCAAGTTGCAGTCTAGTCCTGATAGACCTGTTCCGAGCATTAGCCACCAGTTCATTCTGTACTCCATGGGAAGACTCCATTTCTTTAACCGACAACGGCAGTGATCCCTGCAAGAAGAAGCAACTGGATATTAGTACCAAACAGAATCCTCATGATTTCTTTCAATTTTTCACGAAGGTTGCTGCGCTTTTGGTCAATCTACTAGCCGCGTTGTCGTGTATTTTGGCCGAGTTCTGTGCATCGAAGAAGAAGGGGGGAAGTGAGTCTCGAGGGGGGAAGTGGCGAATACCATTTCCCCGATACAGTACACATATTAAAATATCTTCGCTGCATGCACAAATGGAATTTGCCAGTTTTTTGTTCACAATTTCTGCATCATTTGGATCATTGATAGTGGTGATTATAACGATGCTAAAGTACAGTAGACCAGTTGGGCCAAAGGTAGATTCTAAGCGATTAATAGTAGAAAATGTTACCTTAACTTGGTTGGATACCGGATTGTGTGAGGATCCCCAGTGGAGGGAAGTGTGCAATCCGATTATGCAGCTTTTTTGTGACATCATACTCTTGGCGCACATTACAAATTTCCGGGAAGCGTGTTACAGAAAACAAGTGCAGCTTCAGGCCCGTTATCAAGTTATGTTATCCCGTTCTGCTAGTTTTCAATCTCATGTTAGTCCAAAAAGTCGAGACATCCAATTTTGTGTCAGTTTGACCCGTATCATTTTAGTATTTTCTTCCGCTGTGATAACATCTGGTGGATTGGTCATTATCAGTTGCGTCCTTAAATGGCTTTCCATCAGTATGCTTCAAGAACTATCTGACAGTTCCGTGACCAATGTACACATCGTGGATGCGTTTTGCTTTGTGACTGGAAGTATATCACTTTGTGCTGGCTTACAATGTGTTGCTGCGATACACTGTTGTACAATGCCATTGGAATTACTCCCAAATAAATCACAGGCATCGCATGCACATCTAGAAAGAAAGATCATCAATCTGCCCTCATATCTTCTAGCCTTTATGCTTATTTTCCTAACAATACCGTGTAATGTTGGTATCTGTATTTTTCTGAATATCGATCCCAGACTTTCTAACCTTGGGATAGGTGACGATGTGGTTGGTGCATTCTCCACCAAACTTCCTGGGTTGGCTTTCACTCTGATCAAGTTTGCAAGTCAATCTGCGTTTGTTGTTGCAACTGTTTTGCTTGCATCTCTGTTACTTGACTTCTGTGTCAGAATGGAATTTTTAAGCAGCATGGAGCCTGTTTTGACCATCCGCCCTGAGACCTTCAGTGGAAACGACTATCCAAATATCACTGAGTTGAAAAATTTCCCACTATTGAATGGATCCCAAAGACTTGAGTGTCAGCAGCCCGACATGCAAAATGAAACACAACACAAGCCATTTGACTGTGGTTTGTTTACTTGTCAACGCCAAGTGCCAGCTGATCGCGAAGGGGTCGATTTAAAATACGGATGTGGCTACGTATGGAGTTCCAAACACGGCCAAGGCCAAAAACAAACTTTCACTTCTACTTCCACGGATTGTAATAATCTTAACTCCGAATATGTGCCTTTCAGGTTTTACTCCGAATATTTGACTTCTAAACAATTAGGCCTACATGCCTCATTGGGTGAAGTAACGGCAACCCAAAACCGACTAGTCTATGCGTGTGCTTGTTCTCTAGTAGAGAATGGAACCGAAATGCAAGACAGAATCACATGTACTGGTACGGATACCATCAATCGGACGCTTTCGCAACAGTTTTGTGATCGGGACAGATACACTTATTTGAGTTATAACCTTGCACGGCCTAATGGAAAAGTGTCAGTCAGTTACATGGAGCCGTTGGACGGCTGCATACAGCCACACCGTGGGGTACTTCTCGGATGTTATTATCCTGAAGCTGGAGATAATGACATGATCACCTCTGTGTGAAATGATCATAGTTGCGCACATAGGCGTGTTTTTGTGTATAACCGTCAAAAAAGCTTGGTATGAATTGTAACGTGGCCGTCCAACTTACTAGACATTATCATCTACGCATTCTGACTTTACCCGGGGATGGAATGTCGAAACTCATGAAGACCATAATTTAGTTAACCGTCGCGAAACTAATAACCGTCACTGACATCCTGTTCAAATCGTCGCTGTTCTGGTCTAAACGATAGACGCCATGGGCTCAAAGGATCGCAGTGAACTTGTTGTCAGCGAAAAAGCTCAGCACTAAGGAGTTAAACCCAACGACCATTTATACGTCTTTTAAATACAACAGGCACAAGAAGAAGTATGCATGACTGGTTGAAAGCTTTTACTGTGGTCTTCGCTTGAAAAGGCATTTTAAAGTCGGTTACTAGAAAATATATACTATTCTGCTTTTGAGCGATCAGCAAGCCCCGTGCAAAATCCTCATCTCTCGCGTCCGCCAATTGTGTCCCCTGGTTACTGACCGAAAGTAAACGGATGCTTTCTTGTTAGATGAAATTAATATGCAGCAATGAGTTTGTTAAGAAGTGCCGACCTTTGAACACATGATAATATAAAGCTCTGCGATCACTCATAAGGCGTTCAGATGCTGACAACCAAGTGAAGATGTGATGGGGATACCGGGCTTCGTGGATGCAACTGCAGGCGCAGTACGCATTTGTCAGTTATACACGCTTCACCCTGACAATGATTTCCCTGCATATTTCCTGATTGTGAGAAGATGCGACTTCGTAATATCGCTGCCAGAGTAAGTTTTAACCTATTTATCAATTGTTCGCATGGTTTAGATACCCCATGTGCTTGCACACATAGCACTGCTGTCATCTGCAATAATCCTGTTTTCACCGAATCCACAACAGCGCTTCAATGATGAAATCATTTGACTACTTTTTCTTCTCATTTCTTACATTTTCTCTGTACAGTAAGCGCAATGCGCACTCCTGTGGCTCATTTATGTCCTTTCACTGTCTGTAAGGTTCATTTAAGCAATGTACACAGATGCCTTTTGTTTACCGAGTAGAAGTTTCTATCAAATCAACTCCGGTTCTGGTGATTCGCCATGAGTAGGCTAGGAAAAACGGAGTCCAGCACTCTGGTTCCACAGACAAAGGCGAACCCATGTCTTCAATCCCGGCAATCCGATTGTCCGTAGAAAATCAACTTTAATCCACCCACTATAATTAAACTGCTAATGGAAAACTACAGGATCCATTTGCAACGCCCAGTTAGACTTCCATGACAGAAGTTGAGAATATCTTTGATTTTACTGACGAGCACACTCTTTTCTCAGCAAAGTATCGTGTTTACTATATAAAGTGATTCCTGGTTGTGTCTTTTTTGCTAACGGTAGTTTTAATGACTTAAAAAAGGTGTCTATTGCGGTGGGGCTTTGCTGTAGTCCTCTGCTTCTGAACTATTTAACTGTCGAATTAATGTTTGCTTACGAGGAGCTCCAACTGAGATGTAAATGTGAATTGGAAATATTTTTCAGAACGTAACTTTTAAGAGTAAATTATTCATGATGATGAGGAAACATTATAGTCAAAAGTTGGCAGACGGAATGGTGATAAAAAGTGCAACTAACTCCTCGAAATTCTCACATCTAGGTTGATAATACGTGTGCTTATTGACAGCCAACTGCAATACATAGGTTCTTCTTGGAGCAAAACCGTCCGGATAACAGTTTAGTTCATTAGTGTAAAAGTTCGTGTTGCTGTTTATAGTGACTTATAATAGGCCCTTTATTCATCGCTCGCTACTCGTCATTTGCTGCGATGCGGATACAGGTGGCATACCAATACAGATCAAGCATCCGTTGGCGGGAAGAGGGACAACATGCTAGCCGTTTCATAGGTACTTTTCGCATGATGAAAACAATTTCGACAATCGTATTCCCCATTCTTCCAGGTGCGCGAAACATACTTGGGTATATGCCACTTCTCCAGGTCAAAAATAATAGAAGTGGACAAATAGACATTGACCTTCATAAGAAATGCACATGGGGTGGATCGATTGCGAGCGATAACATTTGGCACCCCGGTGTCTGGTTATTGCAGCGCACTCGGACCGCGCCGAGAGGATATGGCTGATGGAATCTTACGGGTTATCGCAGGAAATCAGTTATGTTGTGTGGTGAAAATATCGCTGGCTGATGCTTACTGATGAGTTAATGAGAATGGCGTGCGACTTTACCACATAGACGGTGTCAGCTTGTTCCATTGCCAGCTAGCATGTCGGGTGATGCGGTGAGTCTGGTAGGGCTCCTTGTCATGGAATCAAACATTAAGCACCGTCCAATAGTTTAATAGTGTATGGTGGGTTAGAAAGCATAACTTTACAAGACCTAGAGGATGGGATTTGCAAAAGCAAATAAAAAATAAAATGTTTAAGGTAGAACATGAATTATCAATGGTTAGGCCGTTACACTTTATCAAACTGTACTGTAGCGTTTATCACTGAGATGATTTGGACACATATTTTTATCTAAAATTCATCTTACACAGAAGTTAACGATAGGGACATTGATCAAGTTTGCTCTCCCCGGGGAAATGTTTTATCTGAACATAAGCGCACTTGTATTAGCAAGACACACCTGTTCTATAACAAACCTTGTTACTTACATTACCACTGGTAAATGCCTTAACGATAGATATTCCCGAGGCTCACTTAACTATGGGGTTTACTTTCTCTTCAAGCTCATTGTTGTAGTGGTAAATGTGTATACACAAGCTTACCACACTGGCACCATTGATATGAAGGACTTTCACGATAACACCATCAATAATATCTAGTAGGTGGGAGGCGCAACATCTTTCGAGATAACGTTCATGTTTTGTCGACTAACAATCTCTTCCTACATCGATTTGCAGGTATATGTTGGAAATGAGTTTTATGAGATCACCATCAACTCACCTATTCACTGGATTAATAGGCTCATAAAACAGTTGAATTTATAAAACTGAATTCTTGTAATGACCAAAAAAGTTCAACCATAAAAATATTTGGTTTGTACTACACTGGAGATAATGTCACTGTCGGTTCGATAGAAATTGGGTCTGTGAATTGACAGTGGCATTTTTATCGTTGCGTTGATTAAATGATCAAAAGAGAATGCATTAATATAGCCCACACTGTCCTCATGAGAGGATGTCAGTTTGATAAACGTCTGAGTGTTGCTTTCATTGACTTGATTGCGGCCTTCCAATTCACTCGTCCGCGGTGCTGCAAGGTGGGTTAAAGGTAGAACAGATTAATTTGCTTCATAAAGTGGTCAAGTATCGGAGTTGTAAACCAGTGTCCATGCTTAATTGGTGTTCAAATTTAAAGTTTAACAACAACGGAGACCCCACTTTGATAGATATGGACGTGAAAAATGACCCAGTGTAAAAATTGAAAGAAGTGTAGGTTGGTCACCAGGCTGTATGTTTGGCGGAAATCTCATACTAATCCAATTAACTATCAACTACAATCGTGATGCCACCAAAAGTGGAACCAACAATATACGTCAAAATGGGGACTGACTTTTAACCATTCATTTCAGGCGGACAACATCAGGTACAGTTCCTGTGATCGCACTGATCAAATTTCACTTAAATGCTAGTCACAGCCCACATCATGATTGAGCATCGCAATCCATCTGCACAGTCCATGAGTGCTTCACAATAATCCCTCCAATCACTATTTAACCTTCGTCATATGCATTGCGCGTCGTGACTCGGTGGCTTAGGAGTTGAGGTTTCGAGTACTATCCCATATGCCGCGAGTCCGAATGCCTGACATCTCTACCTAATGAGATCAAACGAGTCCGAAGCAGGCCGTTTCCAAGCGGGCTACACCAAGTATGCATTAAATATCATTTTCACTGGTGCCAACCGCCACATTAATTAGTGAAGGTTATTTATAGGTACTCATGAGTCGGATAGTTCTGAGGTAGTTAATTCAGAGTTCGTCACAGTAGCTTCCAAATCAGTTAGTTTTCCACATGACTGGAATGGCACTAGACTGCAGTTAGAAACAGTTGAGCATCATTAGTAGTACGTATCCATCGGACCCATCAGGAGTTGAAACCAGGAACAGCAGCAGCTTGCACTGCCAGCAAGCAGCTTGCGCCACAGGGCAACGGGGGACATTAATACATCCGCCCTAACAGTTTCTAAATGCTATGTCGTACATAGCTACTGTCAGTGGACCTCGTGTCTTTCGATGCCGACCCTTTCCTCTGCAACGTTCGTAACGTGCATGGCAGTGGAGGATAAAACGCGCCATATCGCAGTTGGCGCTTAAACCGAAGGTTTGACAAGGACCCACGTGGCCCAGTGGAATTAGGTTGCTGGCTGACGTAGCTGTTGGTGGTCAAATGTTTGAATCCTGAAGGATGCAATGGATGTGCATTATTGATGAGGCCCAACAGGTCGAAAATGTATTCTAGTGCTTTTCCGGGTTTGTGGACTACTATCTGATCTAGATGCTGCTGGGACGAGCTCACACTCAAATATTTGTAAGTGCTGACGTGACTGTTATGGTAGCACAGTTATCATCTTCGCCCCCAGCGCAGGCACTAGTCCATCACCCTTCTCTGCACACACTCCTGTTGTTACCATGATCAGCTTGGTTCGTTGCCGTCACTCAGAGGTTGATAATAAGACCAAAGCTTACGAACACATGTCTTGGTGCGCAAGTTGGCCATCGTTTTGGTACTAGACAGGTTTCACGTCGTCAAGCGCCTTCAATGGTGGGATTGTACTTCAAATATCATCATTATTTCATTATACACATCAGCTAGAGGTGGGAAAACACCTCCGATATTGTGCCGCATATTTCAAATATGGCTGCCTACGAAACAAGTGTTGACAATGGTGTGCGTTTGGGGGGCTAAGTGATGCTGAAGTAGCGTCCTCGGCGCGGATCAATTTAGGGGACTAAAACAACTTTATGACGATCGGTGCGTACTC